AGATTATGGTTTCAGGATGCTTTAGGCCAGGGACAATAAAAACAAGAGGTGGTACAGCAATTGAGCTCTATAGCAATAATTCCCCCAAAGTCTCTAATAACTCTCCCTTAAGTAACAAGACTCATAGGATTGAAGCCTCACAAGACTGTACTTTTTTTAAAAAAAGAATATTTTAAGCCATAATAATTTATTTAGGTCTCAGAGTCCAGATACAGTGTGCTCTTTTTATGTTGTCTTTCCTAGAAATGGGGGGGAGGGGGTTGAGGTAACAAGTGTAATGGACTTAAGTTGGAAGATTTGCTCTTTTATTTGAATATTGATTTGTTAACTTTAGATCATTTGTGTGACTTTATGGGTTGGATCCAGACTAAATGGGCAATTTCCCCTGATTCCCCTTTCCCACTGCAGACCCCCCCACACACTTGGAATTCCTGTCTGCCCCACCTTTACAGAATTCAGTGTGCTGTTTTGGTTGGTTGAAACTGCAGGAGCTCTTAATAATGTGCACCAGCTGAGGGGAATAGAATAGGACTTAGGAGTTTTCTTGCAAGGAGGGCAAAGAACCATGCTCTCTCTGTAGGGGTGCAGGCTCTGGGGCTAGTCCATAACTCAGTGTTTAAAAGGTACAGCTGGGAGCAGTAATATCAAGACCACCAATGAGTTAGAATGGCGGAAGTGTTTCACAATGAAAAATAACAGCCAGCTAGAGTGTTGGAAATTATTTCTCAATTATAAATGTCTTGTGAATCTACATTATGAATCAGAATGAGAGTGATGAGGGAACAAAAGGCAATTCTTTCTAAGTGTCTGGGATTGTTTCTATAGAATCTTAAACACACTATGCTTGACGAACTGTGGGACCTACCTGCCTTAGGGAAAAAATTGGGCTCTTTTTTGACATTAAGTGTACAGTGTAGAAATGTACAAAACCACTTTTCCACTGAAAGCCACACATTTGCACTATGGCTGCATCCGCAGGGTGATGGTTTTCTGTGCTGTTTTCATGCAACCAAGTGTCAGCTAGCTGCCATTTTTCATGTGTACCTGTCCTTTCCTGACTGTGGCGCTACAGCACATGCTTGCTTGCTTGCTTTGCTAGCTTGCTGTAAACAGCGATAGGGAGGCACTCCTGAGACCGTGCAAACTGGCTCTGCCAGACTGGGTTATCTGACTAACCTTGGGGAAGAGGGAGGGCTTGCGTTCCACCGTTGGTGTGAATATTTCTGCTCTCATGAGGCACGGAGACTCTCCCGTTCATTATGTAACCTCCCACCGGGAGAATTCCCCCGCGCGCGCTTGGATTTCATTTGCTTAGCCATTTGCAGCATCACGCTATATGAAAGGCTGCATCCACCCCATTGTCATTCCTAACAATATCCCTGTAGACCATGGTAACAGACCTGTAATCTAATAAAGCATAACGTTTCCCTGGAATCGTGTGTGGAGATTTACTTCCTGTTGATTCTGACACCAAGAAATCAAAATGTTATAAGATTTCTCTTTACCTAGGGTTGCCAGGTCTTGCTGGGCTTCCAGCAGGGGGCTCCTGGGTCCATCCCGGGATCTTCCTGCACACAGACAGCTATGACATCACCCATAAGTGATGTCATCACGCCAGGCATGTCACACATCAATATTCTAGCATTTCAGCCAAAATGCTAGTGTCGACACATGACATGCCCAGAGTGATGATGTCACTTCTGGGTGACATCACCATGCTGACAACATCAATGCAGGAAGGGGCTATTTGGGGGTGGGACTTCCCCCACCAGCGAGCTTACTGGTGGCAGATTGGAGCACCCAAAATTGGGGGAAACCCCAACCCAACTGTGGGTCTGGCAACTCTTATCTTTACCAGAGGAAGCAAATTCAAATAGGAAAAGAAAGTGATTAAAGGAGAAAAGATAGGCCAAAGAGGAGGCACCAAATGGAAAGGGGTGTAGTTAAAAGAGAAAGGGACTGTACCAAAGGGGAAAGGTGGCCTGGTTATCTACTGTCACTAAGGGCCCATAAAACATGGAACTGGCCCTGGGAAGAGGCATTACTTGTGTGATATGATGCATACACTATTAGAGGAACCATATGGGTGGAAGCTTTTACACAGACCCCAACTTCTGTGACACTAACCACAGAAGAGGTGGCAGCCACTTCAGATGTAAGGAGAGTCTTATATACAACAAAATGTGTGGTTGAACTGAATTATGGGTTGCTGTAAACTGTGGTTTATACCCAAGTTCCTTTGAAACGTGTGTATCTCATGGGATCTGCACCTTCAAAGTAGAGTTGTTTTCACCATATATGTCTTATTTGCTCATACTGAATTATGATCTCATTCAATTTTTAAAAAATGTTTCATTGGCTTGTTTTCCTTATGACTTTCCTATTCCACTCTATTAACAGTCTTGGTCCCCACTACGGGGCCCTTTTTGTGCCAAAATGAGAGGGGGGGCTTAAATAAGTGGCAGCTGTGAAAAAGAATACAAAAAAGTAAGAATTAAGCAATACACTACGATTCAAAGGTAGAACTGTTTTTTAAAAAACAAAGACAACAAAACCAAACAATGAAACTGTTTCCAAATTTGCCTTTTGCTATGCAGTTCTGCATGCTGAGCTGCACATAATTACTTAACTCTATTTTTTTCATACAAAAGCTAAAAACCATGGCAACTCAAATTACCAAATTTATTGCACAGTGTTCAGGATAGTGACACTGGCCCCCCTCCAAAGGAGCCCATATGTGCTGACATGCACATGTGATTTTGTCTAATTTTTACCAGCCCCTTTAAGAGGGAGCTGTCTTTTCTAATAAAAATAAAATGACCACTTTAAACAAAAATGTCAACTCTAATCCCACATAATAAATCCAGATTTTTTTAAAAAATAGGCTTTGTTTTTGCATCTTTTTTACAACTATACAAAAAAGGAACAAAAATCTAGGATGCAGTCGACTAATGCAGCACCTTGCAGGTTGTATTCTGGGGGATTCTGGAGATTCTCCAAAGCTTAACAGGAATTCCTCCATGAGAGGGTCAATAATGATGGTTTCCCTCCAAACATCCCTGAAAGAAAGCCTTCTCTAGAACTATTTATTTATATATTTAATTAACTTATGCCCAGTCTTTCTCTCCAATGGGGACCCAATGTGGCTTACATCATTCTCCTTTCCTCCATTTTATCCTCACAACAACCCTGTGAAGTAAGATAGGCTGAGAAGTGTGACTGGCCCAAGGTCACCCAGCAAATTCCCACTGCACAAGTGAGGATTCGAACCTCGGTCTCTCAGAGACTAGTCTGATACTCATAACCACTGCACCATACTGGCTCTCACTACTGACCTTCCCTTGCAACATGCTGCTTAAAGAGAACATTGGGTGTACAGAAGCCCAAAACTGACATGTGTCACAGCAGGTTCTGGGAGACCCAGTTCAAATTCCTACTCCGCCCTGAAAGCTTGCTGTGTGACCTTGGGCTAGTCACACGCTCTCAGCCCAACTTACCACACCAGGTTCTGGTGAGGATAAAATTGGGGACAAGAGAATGATGTAAGCTGCTTGGGGTTCCCATTGAGGGAGAAAGCAAGATATCAATGAAGTAAATAAATATAGTAACTACCACACATAAAAGTGCTTGTTTCAGACATAACGTGAAACCATTGGTTTGGGCATGGTTATTCTGCACATTTGCCCTCCCTCTGTGTTTTCAAAGTTGTGGAGTCAGTTTATTTTCTTCCACACATACCTTCAGTGATGAGGATTTTTAAGGGAGGATGCTGTTGTCATCAGTGGTGTCATCAGTGACATCATAGTACTTCCCCTTTTAAAAAAAACCCCAAAATATTGACATATCGCTGGAGTATTGTAACAGTAGGCTAGACAGGTTCTCTGAATTCACATTTTTCATTTTTTTAAAAAAAGGAAGTCTCTATCCGCTTCCATCCTGGAGATATAAGGACAAAGGCATATCTCTGCAAGGGAAA